CCCATTTTTGCTCATTTCTCGGAGGCAAAATGAGCAAGAACGCTCATGTGTACATCATTCTAGACAGAAATAAATGGCCTTTTTAGAAAGTGAACCATAGATAAGGAAATGTTGGCAGTTTTCTTAAAAAGTGCTGGAATTCAAGAAGTTTTAGATTTGCGTGGTTTTTTTTGAGTTGCAAAATCGACTTGAACATGACGCTGCTTTTTTCGAAGTTTCTCAAGAACCATTCGAGCCAGAGAATTCGTTTTGGCATCGTTGGATAGAGAATTGAATGGGGGGGTCATGACCCTCAAAACCCTCAAAGATTTCATATCAATATTGAGTTTGGTAATAGGAGTTTTTTTCAATAATTTTTAGTGGTAAGAAGCTGCATTTTTCACCAAAGTGAAGCACTTGAGAAAAGTTGCGCTTGGTTTATATCGCAGTAAAATCAGCAGAAATATAGCCACACTACACCTACTATTCACACATAGATATTTTAGAATAATTGCTCAGCAGGTAAAAAATATGCAATTAGATCTGGTGATTTAAAGCTGCCCTTTAGGCTGAACTGAATCTTTTCAAAAATTTTAGGGGGGTTGAAAATGGGTAGAAATTACGCAAAAATACAGACTGATGTCTGCAAAAAATCCAGATCAATAAGTATCTCCGTCAAACCAGCAGATTTTTTCAACGTCTACAGTTTGCATCAGGTCGCATTGAACCTTCAGAAAAATCAGCACTTGCTGAGTTCGCAGAAATGCTGTAGCAAAATGCTGCCCTTTCTTTGGAGATTCGTGCTTATCCTGTGAAAATTTTAGGTTTACAGGGTATCATTTTAATATTTCCCATTGTCGCAACTTATTACAGTTTCTTAAAAATCAGCGGTTATCATTAGAAAAATTACAATTAATTTATAAGTAGTTATTAGAATATTTTGCACATATTGTGAACATTCCAGGAAAATTATCAACTTAATCAGGCAAAAATCGAGAAAAAAACCGATGTTTTCGAGCACATTGCAGCTACTCAAAAAGCAGGCCTGGCTTCAAATCGATGATTATTTAACAAACTGTATCAGTTTATGCACTGTATGTGAAACATTCAATTTAAAACTTATGCTTTATTTGCGCTCTTGTGTACCTACTGCCAAAACCACGGAAATTTTCGACTTTATACTTTACGTTAACCTACTTTAATTGCAGATCCTGTAATGAACATTGGAGAACATCGACATTAGATAAATGACCCTGCTTGCCCTACGATCACGGTCACTATATGCTAATTCACAATTATTAGGCAAATTAATTAATCTTGTATTGTTTTTTGCTATTATATAACAAGCATCATTACGTATTTTGAGACTGTAGGGTCAAATGTCTTAAATGGTTTTCCTCCAATTATTGTGGTTGAACCAAGGTTGATGCTTTGGACTTGCACTGGTCAAACTGGACAGAAACCAGCAACAAAAATTCACTTCAGAAGCGGTTTTGCGATCGCAGCAGGACGACACCCGGCGTCAAAAACCTCTAATCCTGCTAGCGTGCAAAGTAATTCGTGAATGAAAGCTCGCATGTTAAGTTCGCGCTTCTTTTTCAGTGCGTTAAGATTTCAGTGAGTTTTTTGTGTCAATAAAACCTATCAAAAAATGTAAGTAGAACTTTTGCAGAGGGTAGATAGTAATTTCACTGTGGATATTTTGGCCCGAAAATGCACTTGGATCTTAAAAATCAGAAGAATTGAAAACTAGTTTTCCAATGTTGATTTCAGTTTAAATTCTTCACCTAAAAATGTTCTTTTCTGAAAATCCCAATTAATATATTTTATTAGAAAATAGTACAGTAATGAATTCACATCAGCAGTTCACTTATATTGATGACTTCCACAACTGGCGGTTTCCAGTCTAGTTTGTTAAATAATTCACAGGCTAAATATACAGTTATTGATTATTTTTGTACATACTACAAGACTGTGGTAATGTTTCCACTAATCAGTTCAGAATTTGCCTCCAAAAAGTGTTGGTTAATTACTTTTACATAAGATTTTATTCCTGAGGTTCGTGTAAAAATGCAAATTGCACTATCAGTAATCCTATACTTTCGCCAAAATACATTTTTTCACTGTAAATGTATGAGTCTTTTTGAACTATTCATCCTATACATACAACGATTGAAGGGGCGAGTGAACGAACGTGTTTAATTAACTTTGAAAAAATGAGTTTAAAGTTAATTTTAATATCGTTAATTGTTTTATACTATTTAGCAGAAATTTTAAAGTTTGAAGCAATACTTTTCTAATTTTGTATTCCTGAAAAGTGTTTGTAAATTTTGATACTTCTTTTACTTTGGTCTATCTAAATAATAAAGCAGCTAAAATTAGGTTTGTTGCTTTATTGGTCAAAATTCACAGGGTTTTATATGTAAACAAGCTCTGCTAGTTGGTGCGCCGTTTTTTTGCCTATCAAATAGAAAATACTATCTTGTTTCTTTTCAATTTTCTTTTGTGGTCAGAAGTTGCATTTTATTGAGTTTTACTTAAGCTGCTGATTAAAAAAAACAGCGCTGCCTTGAAATGGCAGGAAATTAAACAGAAATGTAGATGGATGTCATCTTACATAGCCGATAAAAATTTTCCATTCTCCCAAAACTTGGGAAAAGCAAAGACATTTTTTCAATTTTTCCATGTGTCGGAAGCCTACGTTTTACGCCGTGTTCAAGATCTCAAAAATCAGCACTTTCTCGAAAGCAAATTAGAGTGACTAGAAACGGAAGGAAATAACGCAAATATACAGTCTGACACAAACCCTGCAAAAATTTCAGAGCAACATAAAAATGCGTTTTCTTGAAAGCGTAGGAAAATCAGCAGAAATACAGCCTAGTGCTTATTTCCGCTGGCGATAAATTTTGGGAAAACTTCCGAAAAATGGGAGTTTGATGTCCTCATTAAAGTGAAAAAAATATCAAAACTTTTAATAAATTATAAAAAGTTGGATGTTTTGGAAAACTGACAGAGAATTTCAACTTCAGCAGCATTTTCAAACAATTTTTTTAACATATTTTCCTGATAGCAACGTGCCGGTATATTTTCCAAGCATTTCCCTCAGAACATGCATGGGCAGCAAAGTGGTTTATTTAATAATAACGTATGACATCAGACCTACTTTTCACAAACAGTTGGATGATTTAAGGTAAACTGATTTAACTGATGCACGTCGATACGCAACTAGTTTTGCGAAATAAGCGCTTTTTTCCAATTTTTAACTGGGTCATGTTTATTGACGCTCGCCTTGAAGCCACTGTAAAAAGTGGTGGATACTAAGAAAGTATGGACATTTAATAATAGAAAAACTGCTTTATTCACATCTTGCCACATTCTTCGCAGGCTGATTACCCCAATTTGCTCATGCAAATAAGCACTTTGTGTAATTTCCTCGCCCGTAAATTTGCTTTTAACCGCTTTGTCGTGGAAAATACACTCTAAAAATTATTGACATTCCAATTAATTTCCAGTCGTCTTTTAAACGTTTCTAATTATATTGACAATTTAAGTGTTTTGTGTTATTGCTTCATCATCGTTCCTGTCACTAGTTTAATTATATTTCTCGATAATGAAAAATTATCTGAGGTAATACTTGCGTATGCCATTGAGTAATGATAGTTTCCATTAATTATTAATTGACTTTATTTGCAAAAGATTAAATATTGTTCTAGCGAAATGAACGTTTCTTTGCCAAAACAACGATTCAATCATCCATGGAAAAGTGAACATTATTTTAAAGATCAAGTGTCTCATAAGGGTGTAAATCGTTACACTTTTAGCTCAAGACACTAAAAGTGCGATTTAAAGTCTCATATGATTAATAAACAAAGATACATTCCCTGCAATCACAATAAATTTAAAGAAATTACTCCTAATTTTTAAATTGAACAGACTAATGAAACAGACAGACTTCTTTGTCTGATTTAATACCTGCAAACCTAGAAAAGGTTTTTCTATTCTAAGAAAAAAATATTCTAAGTTAGGCTTTGAAACGATATCCCCCGATAATTTTTAAGGGAGTATGAATAGAAATCAATTATTTTCCTCTTTTCTTCCATTGTGCCTCTAATTCTTTCCACCAAATCAATACATTTGACCAGCAAAGAGAATTGATAAAAGGACGGAATGTGTATTTCTTTTACAATGGCAGTATTGCTGTAAATGAAGGTATTTGTTGGCGTAACAAAAGAAATAAAGAGTTCCTGATTTTCAGGAAATATTTATGAACAAAAACCGGCAGCGGGTTACTTCAGTACCTAATTCATTTTAACAATATAACTAAATGGACGTTGAGCACTTCTGACCAGTTTTAAACCGACTGTTTTCTTTAGTTGTGTTCTTCTGAGGTTATTTTGACTGTAAAATAAATTCTGATTGCAACACTCTTCTTTACTTAAGCTTGAACTCAAGGAAAACATCATGAGCATGTTTACACTAATAACCATTACAAACTACTTAAAAGTTAGTAGTATTTGATGACACAGCTTTTCTCAAAATTGACGCAAATATTTGCAGGTGCCAATGATGACCAAGCAACCATAAACCAGTTTATTGTTTATAAAGTGTAGTTTTTAAAAGGCGACCATCAATTCTTCCAATGGAAAAGTTTTCACAGTCCAATTTAAGCTGTGACAATATCGAAAATATTGGACATTTTCCATACGTACGCATTCGACGGAAATTACTAACCAATTAGCCGATACATTGGAAATGTTACCGCTTATTGATAGATAAGGAAAAGTTCAAACATTTCACGAGCTTCTAGCCAATTAATGAACTACAAGAGTCTGTGAAATTGGGCTCAACCTTGATCTACAAAAGTTTGAACAGTGACGAAGCCGCTTACGAAACGATAGACATAATATATCGTTATGTAACTTTCACTATTCCTTCAGTATACCGAAGAGATGAAATGCATGGGAGGTTTTAGAAATCGTTTGCAATATCAGACACGGTTTTATTAACGAATGATGAACATATTAGCCGAAAACTACTGTGTTGTCAAGTTGTATAATCCGTGTAAATTGGAGGTAAATAATCCCTACTTTGAGTGCCCAATGAAAAACAACAAATTGGGGCATTCAGCAAAGACATGAAATGTGCCTCCAACACGTCGGATGCCCTGCTCATTATTCAAAAATTGAGTGAAATTTTGGGTCGGCACTATCCAGGACGCGGGATTGTCAGTGGTCCAGTTGTCTAGCCCGCTAGATCACCGGATCGAACATCCATAGATTTTTTACGAAATATTACATAGACCGGAATGACCCTACCACTCTTGAAAACATAAAGGAACGCCTTAGAAAAGCTTGCAGATAACTTGATAGAGAAGACATCTTACGCAGCAATGCATTTTTTCTGTCTTGTCTGTGAGACGAACTGTACCTACCGATCTTGATAATTATCATTTTGGACATTTATTGTTAGTTAGTTGATTGATTTTAGATTAATTTCTTATATGGTTTGAATATTCTGATGACCTGGAAAACAGGGCCAACGTCAAAAAATGTTGACCTCAATTTTTTGTTTAGAGTTAAATCGACCACTCAATATATCGGGAAACTATTCCAACCCCTTCCTCAATTGGCGAAGAAACTTGTTGATTATGTTTCCAATAAAGATCCTTTTTCATGTTTACCATTAATTCAAAACGAAATCATTTGTGCAATCGAGGACAGTCAAACAACCTTATAAAAAGCTCATTAAGGTTTAATTTTTATGAGCATCTAGTTGCTTTTGCGTGACCTAAGAGCCGTAGATCTTTGCTTTGTCTACAACTAGTTATTTTTTTCAGAGAAATGACGACTGCAGGTCCAACCGAGCTGGAGCTCCGCAGGAGAAACTTTAAGGCTCAGCAATCCACAGTCCAGACCAGGAAGCAGCAGGCTGTTTGCGTTAGGCGAGCCCACAAAAAATATGGATCGAAAAGCCAGCCGAATATCATATTGGATGGCCTTAATATGACTGTTCCCAAGGGATGTATGTGAGTGGCGTTCCTCAATTTGTCAGCACAAATTCCAGCCTGTTTTTTTTTCAGATACGGGTTACTTGGTGCTAGTGGTTGTGGTAAGACAACTTTGCTCAATTGCATAGTAGGTAGGAAACGACTCAATTCGGGAGAAATATGGGTGTTGGGAGGACAGCCTGGATCAAAGGGAAGCGGTGTTCCAGGCCCACGAATCGGCTACATGCCGCAGGTAAGTTTTTCTAAAAAACTCTGAAATTTCTCAACAGCAATAATAAAGTCTTCAATGTCTTCACGTCGTATTCCAAAGCGCTTCATGAAGAAACTGTCACCTTAACACAAGCTCTTATTTAATGTAAAGGTCATCTGACGCATCTAGAATTAAAGTCTTTAAATATTACACGCAACTGCTTTCATTCTTCATTTGAAAAATACCACTTTTATGTTAATTATCATCATGTAACATTTCCACTGGTCAAAGCGTGGCTTAGATGAATCGCAATTTTGGAGACTTCCATGTTTGAATGGGTGCCGCGACCTCGGCCGATAATTTCGTAATTTCGTAAATTAAAACTTGTCCCTAAAACGTTGGCAATCTCGACGTAATTGTGCTTGAAAAAGTAAATCTAATGAAATTGCAGGAAATCGCCCTTTACGGCGAATTCTCAATTAGGGAAACCTTGAAGTACTTCGGATGGGTCTCCGATTTGAGTACCGAGCAAGTCGAGGCCAGGCTGGAATTTTTGGTAAATTTGCTGATGCTGCCTGATCCTGATAGGTAAGTGTCGTAAAAGGTCTGTGTTGGGGCTTGCAGTGCAGCCCCAACAATCCCTTACAGAAAAAAAATAAATTGTGTCGAACTGTACGGAATGTCTTCAGCTGACAAATCATACGCAATAAACCAGACCAGACCGGACGAAATTGATTGAAAGGCATTAGTGCTATTAACAGAACAATTCTTAAGTGCAGTTAACAAATTAAGCTCAACAGCTCAAAAAAAGTAAAACACGTCAAAGGAAAGAGATTTTCAACGTTTGTTAGAAGTGTTGACTTACAAGTTTTTAACGCAGAAAACTTTCATGGTCAGGTTTGTTTCGGAAAGAAATGCATAATACTTTCTGCCAAAAAACACACACAAGTTGCCTCAAATTATGTAAAACTAATGACTGCCAAATATATAAATGTAAGACATTTGGAGCATTCAGTAAATTGCATATAATTATTTATTTTTCTATTTTTCGTAATTTAATTCAGTGCTCAACAAAATTTTAATAATTTTTTGTAGCATATTCCAAACTGATCTTTGACAGTTTTCCGTAAAAAGTAAACAAAATTGCCACTCAAATTTATAAACTAATCAAAATCAATATACAAACTCATCTTGAACATTATTGAGTGCGTTTCTAATTTCCTGTCCAATTTTAGTTTCTACGACTTTAATTTTTTTAGTCTAAAGTTTAATAACTTTAGAAATATTTTTTTGGGTGGCAATTCGGTAACGACTTTCAGACGCCAGTTTCTTGAAGAAAACTGTTAAAAATAAGTATAGTAAAATCAGTGTTAAACTTCCTAATAATAAATATTTAACACTGATATTTAAATCGTTCGGTTACGCCGCATATATCTTTGAAAGTATATCGTGGCAATATGAGATTTTGTAAATAAAGGTCTCTTACATTAGGAGTGTTTGCGGTTAAACTATCGCAAAGTTGTCCATTTTAATGGTTAAAATGGCAACTTTAAAGTTGCCATTTTAACTTTAAAAAGAGAGAAATAATGTTGTAATTATTTAAAAGTATGTCTTCAGATGAGCTGAAAAAAATGATTTAAGTTAATTTCACTTTTCTTAGAATTTTCTCGGCGGTAGTCAACACTTTTCCACTTTTAAAATACGATTTTTTGAAGCATCTAAATACGCAACTTTGCGCTAATTTATCCGGCTTCAAATCCCAAGTTCAGTAACTTTACGAGATTCCAATGCCAAGATTCTAAATATTGTCTTTCTAAACAAACATGCATTAAGAAAGTTTATTTTCCAGTTTTTCTAATCATTAAAAACCATTTTCGCGTTGAACTGACCCAACCCATACTTTCTCGTTAATATTTTATTTAATTAGTCTAAGAGATAAAAGGCGAGTTTAAGGCAGGAAGAAGACTTCGACTCATTTAAAAATATCTACTGAGTGGTATGTACGTGGTCAACCCTTGTGAGGCGATTATCTGAGTGTTTCTAAGAAGAAATATTTATATGAGTCTCATTCGGGTATGAAGAATTATCTTCAATATACAGGACTACTCAATATGTTGGAATTAGAGTAAAAGTCGCGTGCTTTAGCGTTTGATCCAAAAAAAACATTTATATGAGAATTTTATACATATAATTCCGGACATTTGAATGATATTGTTTGAACTTTTTGAAATCTATTTGTTGAGTTTCTGTTGTGTTAAACCAGCTTATTGTGTAATATATTCAAAAATATTCTAAAAATTGTCTAATTTTTGCCGTCGATAAAAAAAACGTCAAAAAGCGACGATCAATCAATGACAAAATTGCAGACAAGACATAAACAAACAAGCAAAAATACTGAATTTGAAGACCAAGAATAAATAGCTTTTCAATTTCTCCATACACGTAGTTCATTGCTGACCAAATGAGCATTTTACTAACTAAATAAATAATTCAGGCAAGTAAAATGTCTCAGTGGAGGGCAGCAACGAAGAGTTTCTTTAGCGGCAGCTCTGGTTCACGATCCAGAGCTGCTCATTCTTGATGAGCCCACTGTTGGAGTTGATCCACTTTTACGGCAGAACATTTGGGGCCATTTGGTGGAAATCACTAAACATGGAAGGAAAACAGTGATTATCACTACCCATTACATAGACGAAGCTCGGCAAGCACATTTGGTAAGGCAACTAGCAATATTTACATTGTTGCGTTTGATTATAAGGGACAAGATTTTATAACTAAGAATGCTCGAATTGAACAAAAAAATGTTAAGGGTCGACCTAACAGTAATTCTCTAATTCGGATCAAAATCTAATCAGGATTATGTTGCCGTAGTTCGAAACCGCATAATAAATATTGCTGCTTCTGCAAATATCTGAGGTTTTTATATTGCACAGCACTCGAGTTTTTAGCATACTCAAAACATGCCTTTGAAGTACAACAACGCATATAATTGGAAAAATTATACTAATGACATGGAATTATATATTTAAGTAACGTTTCATGTAATAGCACTAAATTATTGTCAACTGCACTCCCCTTTCTTGTATCTATTAGATGAATTTATTTAGTAATTAGGTAGATGATTTTATTGCTTTTGTTTAACAGGAATTATCTACGATGCTCGCTAGTCACTTTGCGATGTGGCCTAGACATTTTTGAATCATATATATTGTACAATATTGTGTATAACAGAAAATTTACGAACAATTCAGAAATTCAGAACTTTTTCCGATATTATTTCAGTATATCTCAGATGTTAATTCAGAAATATTTCAGATGTTAAAACTTTCAAGACTGTTAATACTTCTTAGCTAGAACACAATAACGAATATGGCTTGATAAAAAAATGTTTAATAATAATGTCAATTTACATACCGACTAACTCTATAATACCAAAATATGACATAATCATGCAGAGCAAACTTTGCACGAGTATTTCTGTTCTCTACAGAATTAGGTATACTTTAAACACGCTTCAATAAGTGCTTAAATTTAAAATAATATGCAGGGTTTTCCCATGTATTTAAACACATCCACTGCAGGAATTAATTGAACGAAATACGTTGGTGACAATTTTTTTTTGTATAACCAGCAATCATGGTCAGAAAAAAAATTATGGTCAGCAAATTGCTGTAAATTTACTTCATTTGGGAAGCAAAAGACATTCCTTCCTTGTAAACTGGTTCTATGGCAATAATGTGCAAAAATAATTTCTCTGATATTTCCAGTAACATCCAATTTTTTATTTCGTAAATATTTTAAATTTTTTCATAGATTGGCTTAATGAGAGGCGGATATTTTCTCGCCGAAGAATCGCCGGAACAGCTCATCGTCCAATTCGGAGCCGAAAGCCTGGAAGATGTCTTCCTGAAGCTCAGCGTCATTCAAAATATGGGAAAACGACGACGGTCCAGCATTCTTCAGAGCGTTACGGATGCGATTCCGATTCCAGCAGGATCAGTAAACGAAGGAGCGATTCTGGACGACGAAGTTGGGGAAATTTCAGGAGAATTTGGCGATAACACTTCAATGTCCGGAAGATCAGCCAGTAAAGATCCAGATGTTGTATAGTGGACAATTGCAACATACGAAATGTTTTTGCAGGGCGGGTTTCAATTGCACCGGATGCATCTGTAGAAACGATACCCCCAGAACTCCCTCCTGAAGAGGAGACGGAAGTGAAGTGGACCGACTATTTGAAGATAGTAAAATGGTCGCACATGCGAGCATTGGTTTGGAAGAACTTCTTATGGATGTGGAGGAATATCCCGGTCATGACTTTTATTATTGGTATGAAAGAATGCACTCAAAATGCGCCATTTCCACCAAGATTTTCTGTGTTACAGGATTGCCAGTGGGCCAAATGATTCTGTTCTGCCTTTCTATTGGACATGATCCGAACGATGTCACCCTATCAGTGGTTAATAATGAGATCAACTATCCGATGGAACGTTGCGAGTACAAGGCAGGTTGCAACGCTTCCTATCTAAGTTGCAATTATCTGGATTATATTTCTAACAATTACTCCCTCATAATGGTAGGTGATGAACCGCATTGTACCAAAGTTTCAACTTTCGATGAAAATGTTGTTGACCTTTGAAGGTACCAAGAAGTAAATAAAACAATTTTATAGAACTACTATGCAACAGAAGCAGAAGCCCGGCAAACTGTTGAGAAAGGCAAGTCCTGGGCCATGCTGGTGGTGCCAAACAATTTCTCAGATTCCTTACGATCAAGAATAGACAACGGTAAAGATACACCTTCATGGGACTTGGCTGGAAGCGTCATTGATGTGTTTTCTGATAAGTCGAGTAAGCATGTGTTAACTGTTTAAAAGCAATTTTGCAGTTCAATTTCCGTTTCAGATGAAAATATTGCCACATTTATTACAAGAGATCTGTTGTTTGGACTGGAGGGCTATGCCAAGAGCTTTCTGAAGCAATGCGACATTGATCCCAAAGTGTTTGGAATACCAATAAAGGTATTGTAAAATAGGGTTCTTGGCCAGTCGGGAAACGCAGAAACTTAATTCATCTATTGGGATTATTTTCGTTACACAGGGCATTCTCAAAAATATCCTGGCATGTCAAACTGGGTTGTTGTTTCATGGAGCACATAAAAGGTTTATTGGGTCTGCGGTTCATAGTTCTCATATAATTAAAATCAATTAACAGAAGAGGTCGAATTGGAACCTAATAAGGTTCAATCTTTAAAATCCTCAAGATATTTAGTATCAGCTGCTTAGAATAGAAACGCTTCTTTGTTAATTAACAATTGTTATATCTGCACATTGTAGTTCGAAACCCCCATCTACGGATATGGATCACCAGACTTTACCGACTTTGCGGCACCAGGAATAATTTTAACGTGAGCCCCTCCTCACACATTAAGAATTAAATTGCTCCAATCCTGTCTATTTCAGCATCATCTTCTTTATGGCTGTGGCACTCACTTCCGGAGCAATGTTAATGGAAAGGAATGAAGGAATCCTGGAGCGAACGCTAGTCAATGGAATTACTGGCACTGAAGTACTTTTCTCCCAAGTTATCACCCAATTTGTTGTAATGTTCGGTCAGACGACCATGGTGCTGGTGTTCGCTTTCCCAATATTTCAACTCACACAAAATGGAAACTGGTTCAACCTCTTCAGTTTGACCATTTTGTCGGGTGTTTGTGGAATGTGTTTTGGTAATTTGCTACACAAAATTCAGATTGTCATGCTCGATTAACGTTCGATAATATTGCAGGATTTGTTGTTTCATGCGTCTGCGAAAATGAACGTTCCGCCACTTACATGGCTTTGGGCAGCTTCTTACCCATAGTGATGTTGTGTGGAATTATTTGGCCTATTGAAGCTATGAGTCCGTACTTAACTTGGGCTTCCACTTGCCTACCATTAACCCAAGCGACAGAAAGTTTGAGGTATCAAAAAAGTGTTTTATATCTAATGTGGCTCTACTACTAAAACTTTTTCAAATTTTTACAGATGCATTATCGCCAGAGGATGGGGCATTCAAGTTCCGGCAGTTTACTATGGATTTTTGTCAATTACCTTATGGATTTGCATCTTTTTGACAATAAGTATACTGGTGCTCAAGTTTAGGAAAGGCTAAACGCGTTATTTATTTATTGTTCGTACACAATCAAATAGTGCTGTAGGATGTTTTCAATTGACTTTTTACGGTTCCCAGGATGTTTTGTATTTTACGCTTAGGATGTGATTAAACTGTTTTTAAGGAGAGAAACGATTTTGATCAATAAAAAATTTTAGTTTTATTTTTGTTGTTTCTATTGATTTGGAATAGCCATAAATCTTCACTACACAAATTTTGTTAATACGCGAAATGTGAATGAGCAAAACCAAATAAATTTATTCAATACCATTAATTTAGGCAAACAAAAACTATTTTAAAAGTGCGAATAATTGCCGGTATAAATGAGAAACAAATGTGGTTTTTCTAAAGTGTGATTTTAACAGATGAAATAGTCAAAATGACTATTAACTGAAAATTTGCTTACGTTTTCCTGAAATAAAATAGCTTTCTTAAAGAGAAAACGCTTTTTTCCCTGTAAAGGCGAGTAATTGCCGGGTGAAAGCACAACTGGTTGTCCTAAGTTGTGATTTTGACCATTGAGTTTGTGATTTGTTCAGAACCGAGGAAATCATCAAACTCAAGATAATAGTAAGAAATTCCATTACTTAACAAATACGTCCCATTTCATTCAACTCCGCACAATCATCACGTGGCAAAACGAATGACAAACAACAATATCTTGTGAATTTAAGGATTATATGATGTATAACGCAATACCATCACGAAAATTATAGTATAAAAGTTCCAATTTGACAATAGAATATTTTTATATATGTATATATAAGTAACTAACGAATGATATGATTATGATATGATAGAAGCGTTCTACTAAGACTTAATTTAGAAACACATGAGCTACCGGGTGGCCCACTTAAGTCGAAAAGGGCCTAATTTTCAAATCCAAAGCTTCATTTTTTTGTTACTAAACTTTATAAACAGTTCGAAACTAGTAACTTTTATACGAAGCATTTTTTATATTTTTTGGAACGTTATTATAATTTATAATATCAACTAACAAATAGTTCTATGTATTTGTGTAAATAGGCACTATTTTCCACATTAAAAATAAAGTCAGTTTGAGCGTTTGCTCCCAAGGATTTAAAAAGTGTATTTTTTTCTTTTTAAAATACCAATTCATATCGCCAACATTCGATTTAAATTAATCGAAGATGCTAATCCAAAGGTATTTGCAGAATGTAAACAATAAATTAGGAAAGTAAATCGTTTTCTTCAGTTTCGTTATTAATATGCCTATTTGCCTCAAATGTGCAGTTTTTGGTCTTAAATGTAAATGCGTCAGCAATTATTATGAAGAAAATAAAAGAGAAAAATGACGAACCATATAACACGAAGCAATAGGGATGAAAATATGAGCAAAATTCTATTTGCTTTTACAATATTGCTTGCGCGTGAAACTTAACTTAAACTAGAAAATGTGGCGATAACTTATAATTCCTGAACCGATGAGTTATAATTCGTTAACTCAGAGAGCGACATCAACTCAATAGCGCAACTCAACCCAGGCCTAGTTAATAACATCAAATTTTCGTCTTCCTCGATGGACAAGTAATGGAAAAAGCTTGAAACATATTCTACATTTACCTTATCACTGACATTGAACTGTAGTTACGAGGCATTAGTGGATTTTTCAGAATCTAAGGACTTAATTATATGTATTAATTCTGTGTTAGTTAGGCAAGTAATTATATGTTTCAGTTTGCTATTTTCAGAATAAGCTGTTTTATGCACTCACTGTGTAGGTAAATTGCGAATTGGCTAGAAATTGCATAAAAACTGAATAATCATAGTTCTAATACGTAGAACAGGATAAAATATTCATTAGTAAAATGCAGTTTGAAATTACTTTATATAAATTTATATCTAATTGTTTAATTACAAGTTTCGGAATATGCAAAGATTTTTTTGCGAAACATATGTTTTGCTCCTTATTTTTAATTTTGGTTTTTCTAAATTAGTGTCAATAATTTAATAATAACAGGATTTACGTATTGTTTAATAAAGTAGTTCCGGATAGTAAAATGTCTGAAAAAGACCAAGAAAATTTCAAAAATTGTTGCTTTTCTTTGCTGATTGTTAACATTTAGTACATATGTGTATTACAGTTTTGTCATATTGGGATGAACTATATGATGAACTATAAATTTGCAGTTTTCCCTGCTTAAACAAAGTCTTAAAATGACTTTCATTCAGCAAATATTCCTACCTTAAATTGTGTTTACATTGAACTATATTGTTGTTTAACCGAAGCCTTTACATCCATCTAAAGTGTAATTATTAATTTGTACAATTCAAATTAAATATTACAACTAAAGAATTTTTATCTCCATGACTTTAAGAAATGTATAAAGGTGCCTATCCCACAACGAATTTCCACTTTTCAGGTCAGCGTTGCGTGAAGAAAAGCTAATATGAAACAGTATAAATTTTATGCTACAGCATTGCTTTGTTTTGCACTATCAGCAAACATTTTAACTCGAGCTCTAAGTGATGAAGAGTTTGATGAATTTGTGTCGAAAATTGAAGACTTCATTGATGATTCTTCATCAAATGTTTGGGCGACTAACAATGATGACTACTTTTCGTCTGAAAATGCATCTTCAGTCGGTAAGTCCTGTCAGTTCAATGCACATTCAAATATTGATAAATTGGAAATCAACCATCCAGACTATGGGACGTTTGACTTCATAATTGTCGGAGGAGGAACAGCGGGAGGAATTTTAGCAAATCGTCTTTCGGAGCAAGAAAATTTTACGGTTCTACTAGTGGAAGCTGGAAAAGCCAGAGCAGCAATTGTAGATGTTTTAGGATTGAATAGTTATCTGGTAGCATCGGAATGGAACTGGGCATATAACACAACTAAGCAAACCACCGGTTGCTTAGGTAAATTAATCACTTAATAATAATTGTAACAAAATTTATAATAAAATTGTTCAGGTTCTGTTGACCAACGTTGCTCTTTGGGAAGAGGAAAAGGCTTGGGTGGTTCAAGCAGCATAAACGATGCGTTTGTTTCCCGTGGTAACCACAAGGACTTTGATCAATGGGCAGACCTAGGCGATATTGGGTGGACTTTTGAAGACTGTCTTCCGTATTTTAAAAAAACCGAAAAAACCACATTTTCGGTAAATGCTTCTGATGAACCTTACCATGGATTTGATGGAATGCAAAGTTTAAGTAGAGCTGAAGATACTCCAATATTGGTAAAACAGCAACAAAACTAACAATTAGAAGATATTTTAAACAGCTTTTTTTCCATTTATTTCAGACTGACGCCCTAGTTAGTGCATTTGAAGAACTTGGTAACTCTTACGTAGATTTTAATGGCGAAACTCAGTATGGAGTAGGTCGGCCTCAATATTATTTGGATAATAATACAAGAGCAAGCACTGCACATTCCTACATATTTCCAGCGTTAAACAGAACAAATTTGAACATTACTGTGGAATCGCTAGTTACAAAAGTGATTCTCTCCAATAAAACGGCTACTGGAATTGAATTCTGGAAAAATGGGACAAAGTACACGGCCACTGCTGGAAAGGAAGTGATTGTTTCAGCTGGAGCGGTTAATTCGCCGCAACTTTTGATGCTCTCTGGTATTGGTCCAGAAG